CGTTCCCCGGAGACCCAGCATTCTGCCCCCTACCCCACTGACCCATCGCCTGGGGTTCTAGCACCTCATGGACCCCGGGTCACTCCCACCGCCGCCCTTCTCCAGGCACCCTGGCCTCTCAGGGACCCTGGACTCCCCCGTGGTGCACCCCTAGTCGTTAGGGACTCCCTCTGCTGGTCCCCTAAACTTTGCCCGAAAGATCCTCAGCATTGACCCCCGACCCCTGGCCAGCTCCCTGAAAAGTCCAGGGAGACGGGGCTCCAGCGTTCATCATCCTGGGGCCCAAGCTTGTTTCCGGAGGCTGGACAGATCCCATCACCCAGAAGCTGGACGCCCCAGTTCCGGGACCCAGAGCTCTGCTGCCTTCCCCCGCCCGGCTCCGTCCCCCTGCCTCACAATCCAAGGGACCAAGGACCTCCCCGTCCCGCTCCCACGGCCCCTCTCAGTGCTGTCCTCACAGTCTGTCATCCTTGTACCACTGGAAATCCGCAGGGGGCACCGCCATGGCTTCGCAGCGCAGCAGGGCGGCTCGGCCCAGCGCGGTGCGGGCGCTGGTCACGTCCGTGATGGTCGGAGGATCTGGCGAGGGGCGAGGGTCAGCGAATTCTCCAAGCCGCGTGGGGACGAAGGGGTCCCTCCCCCAGCCCCCGCCTCCCTTAGGCCCGGAAGTCTCGCCCCCGCTTCCTCCTCCCGCAGACCCTTCCTCCCCAGGGACTCGGGGTCCGCCACCCTTTCGTGCCCAGTGCCAGGGGGGCTCACAGTTGACTGTGACCAGCACGCGGCGGCTGTCGGGCGCCGAGTTAACCCCGTTGTGAGTCACGCACTCATACTCCCCGGCCTGGCCCCGCTGGATGTCAGAGATCTCCAGGATCTCTCCCTCCGAGGTGAAGCCATCTGTGGGGGGAAGGAGGAGGAGGGGGCGGGGCCAGACACAAACACTTAACACGGGACAACACGGGCACAACACGGACACACATCAGCGGGGCGGCACGGCAAGGCCTGGAGTGCCCGGGTCAATGGGGG